AGGGATGTTGTTTCCCTGCTGAATATGCCTCTGCAGACCATGTCCACGAGCCAGATGCCCAAATTCTGTTGAAATTTCCAAACAACAGAATTGCAAAAACACCATCACAGATGACAAGAGCTCGTCTTGCTTCCATGCTTCTTTTTAAGTCTCTGAACATCCTGAGGTGTAAGATCCCTAGGGCAGCTGGAGCCAGGATTGTGAGGGAAGGAGCTGCCTCACGCAAGGAGGGGACTGACATTTTTAAGGGTTTCATGCACCTGCCCTGAGCTGACAAGATCAGTGCTGGTAATGCTCTCTGGGAGCACCTTGTTGCAGGAGATTTCAGCAAGCAGAATCCAAAGGCCTGCTGGCCTCAGGGCCCAAGTAAAGAATTAGATGATGAAAATGCAGGATGAAGAAAGCAGACAGGAACAGCATTCCCCCTGGTGCAATGCTCTGCTGTGGCTGCTGAGGATGGGTGGTCAAATGACTGCCTTAAAGAAGTCAGCGTGCAGCTTCAATTTGATTTCATGAGAGTTAACACAAAATTGGTCTGAAGTATGCCTAGTGTGTCTCAATGGCTTCTTTCAGAAGATTTAGCATTAGAGCACCCCAAAAGCCCATGCCATATTTTAGCATAAAATATTTTGTATTGAGAAATACAAAACACACCTGACAACAGTTTTATCTTAATTATTACCTGATCTAGAACAAGAGGTGATCCCATACAAATCCTCCACCCTCCTGGCAGTGTCAGGAGCTGTCCCTGTGTGTGCCACAGTGTCAAGGAACAGCATCCTAAGCCTGGAATGTAATTTCTGAATATTTACTGCCATGGTTTTTGTAGGATGCAGAATGATCAATGCTAATTCCAGACTCCTTGTGGACGGATTAATTAGCGTAACGACATTTTCATTTTCATGCTGCTGAACCTGTTCTAGCAGCAAGGAAATTACCATAAATTGCCTGAGGGAACCTGTAAAATACACAGGAATACCAGGCAGACAGAGGGCTACCATCACCCTTTTGTCCATGCCCTCAGACTGAGAGCAGCTTTTTTTTGACATAAATAATTGCTCTCTTTGAGCAAACCTGCAGGCAGAGCACCCCAGAGAGCCCAAATTCCCAACCAGCAAGTGCTTAGAAAACAGGTGACATTTCCCACTTGTGTCAAGCACCCATTAATGCTTTGCCTTTTAAAAATGGAGCTGCTGGCAGCTATTTGTTGATTGTCCCCCACATGATGGGTTCACCCAGATAACTCCACCATGCCAGTCCCACACCCAGCTACAAGAAAATCCACCACATTTTGGGCTTGAAACACAACAGACACCCCAGAATTTGATGCTATTAATAATAAACTGAAGATGTCAACACAAAACAGCCTCTTGTTTGGGGCTGAGCAGTACTAAACACACAGTCAGGAGACAATCTCCTGTAAAAATCTGGAATGGTGGAAAGGGATGAAGAGCAGCACTGTGGCTCATTCCTGTCCATTTTTTACAGGCTGGCTGGTTATGTGTAAGGGATCTATTTTTTGTGCTGTTTTTCATGGTGTCAGCCACAAAGCCTCAACAAAAATCCTTGAGTTTGGTTTATAAGAATTAAACAACTTCATTTCAATGCCTTCTATCTGTTGCTATCCTGAAAAAAGCATCACTTCACTTCTGCACCAGACAGTCTAGACAAACACCTACTATCCAGTTCACACGAGAAACATAAAATCCACAAAATTACACCTTCCTTCTGCCCCAGAAAACCCCAAACCCAAAAAAACCCTGCAAACTCCCACATTTTGGAAGGAAAGAAGCACTTGTATCCCACACTTTCACTTCTCATCTCTTCCTTGCTCACTGTGAACTTAAGTGTTGTAACACATTCCTCTCAAAAGGGTTAAATTCACTCAAGAGAAAAAACCTTGAGTTTCTGAATCCCATTTAATCCCTTCTTGGTTTTAAATACACCATTAAAAGCAACTCAGTTTAGGATTATCAGTGTTGGTCCAAAATGAAGGCAATACATTGAATTTTATTTCCTCAGCTTCAAACTAAGCTTCTCTGAAGGTGGGCAAAAGGAGAAAACTTGTTTTCAACACACAATCAAGCAAATAAAACCCAGAAGTCATAAAGCTTATCCTGTTTTTCTGCCTGACACCAATTCTTCAGCTTTGCTTCCTCCCAGGGAAGCATTATGAAACATTTTGGAAACCAACAACACAGAAAGTAGAGCTTTGTGTAAACACTGTTGTGACTTTCTGCTTTCAGAGAGATTTGTTGCTGTGCTCCCAATTGGTTCCAGGCTCATTTCAGGAAAATTAGGTAAGACAAAAATGTGTATTTGATTTCAGAGATCAACAGACATTCCCTGTCCATCCAAAGTCTCTCAAAATGTTCATACACCAGTCTGCTGCAGCTTTTGGAAGAAAACTGACCCGGTATCTGACAACAGGGCCCAGCTCTGCATTCCCATGAACCCCACAGAACACCACAGGTGCAATTTTCAAGTGAGGCTGCAGCAGAGGACAAGCTCAAAACCAGCACTTGGTTTTTGTTCTCCAGGACAAATCATGCCCATCTCTGTTCCCCACAGCACAAAGGGATGGAGCAGCTCCCCAGAGACTTTCCAGCTCTGTCCATGGGGCTTCCATAAGGAATCAGCTGTTCTCTAGCAGTATTTCAGCACTTCTCTCACATTATGAAGTGTCTGTGACACAGTTCATAATGTGATCATCATAATCACAGAGGAGACTGCAATGCCTCAAGGATCCATTTTACAGAAAATCACAGAGTGGCCCAGCAGCTGCACAAGTTCAGCACCTTGCCAGACATTTCTCATCAATGTGACAAAGTGAAACAGAACCCAATTTACAGGCTATTATTTTCCATGGTTGATTTGACTCGATACACAGGAACCACACAAAAATGCAAGGCAGTCTCAGAAGTATTCACATAAGGGGCTGATTACAACAGCAAATAGCTATTTGGACAGAAATATTTTTGATTTTCAAGAGGGTGCAAGAATGATCTTTTGTCCAACAAACAACTCTCACCTCTATGTGCATCTAAAGTCCATCAAGATACAAACAGTTCAACTTTGGAGAGAGAAGCTGTGGGTGACAGGATTGCTATTCTCAAAGCATAATGATGTGGGAAGTAAAAAAGATTTCTAGAAAGCTGTAAAAGCAGGCTCCAAACACATAATGAGGGTGCTGGGAGTGCACATTTGGGCTGCTGACATCCTAGGATGGATTCTGATTCAGCCTTAAGAAGTTCTAATAATACAACATGTTGCCCAAAGAGGCTGTTGGCTTCCCACCTCTGGAAGTGTCCAAGGCCAAGAGTTTCTTATGCACACACACACACATTTACATTATTAAACACACATCAATATCAAAACAAAACAAACTTCAGAGGCACAAGCCAATCTAAATATGTAAGCACAGCAGCTCTGCTCGCCCGCAGAGTTCTAAAGTTACTTCTCCTGTTGTTGAAGCTGAATTCTAGTGAAAAGGAAAAGAAAATCCCCATGTTTTAGTGGTTACAATTTGGATTTGTAAACAACAGTCATTTGTGATTACACTACAGCACACCCAGAATGTGAAATCCAGGCTATCTGTGAAACTCAAACAATTCTGGATGATTCACCATCTTGGGGTGAGCATTTTCTAACTTAAAACCTCACCTGCTCATTTTTCTCCAGTTTTAGATGATAACCATTGTATCTACCCTTCAATACAGAAAATCCTCTCCAGATGACAGAAGTTGCATACTGGTGCAAAACACTTCTGTTTTCCATCAATGGTACACAGGTTTGTGCACTGCAGTGTCATGGAGGAAAACTACAAAGACCTGGCCTAACTGTGCCACAGCAGCACACACACTAAAGGTGAAGACACCATTTTTCTGTTCAAAACAATCAGGAGTTTAGAAGAAATAATTAATCAACATTTCCTAGATATTAAAGTCAATAGTTTTTCAGCAGCATTTGCTAATAGCTCTTTGTGCACTGTCCACAGCAGAACACATCTATTGTGCACATTTTAATTCATAATTCAGAGTACCCTCCTGCTGACAGCAGCATCTTTTGACATTTCTGAGCAGAGCTTTAGTGGCATAACTGCATTTCCTGTGGTGCATCCCACTTGTCACAAGCTGCCATGGGTATTGGTGGGGTGGAGAATGCTGCTCTCCAGGGAGTGCCCATTTCATCTTCTCAGCTGTGCTGTGACCTTTTCCACTAATAGATGTCACAGTAAGGGCAGGCCTTGATTGCTGAGCCCCAAGAGCAGACTGGTTAATCACCACAGACAGGAATATCCAAGCACATGTCTCGTCTATATTTGAGATGGGATGGCTGGGACATGATCTTTATGGTTCCTTCCAACCCAAATCATTCTGTGAGTCTGACTCAATTTAGGGGTTTTCAAAGCAAAAATGTGCTGGAGCACCTATCAAACACTATGGCAACAATCAGTGTAAATCTGAGGCAGTGAAACACTTAACTTTGAAATCAAGGTAATATTTATTCAGCAAGAGTGAAACCAGATGAAAAACTTCTTCCTTCACTACTGACAGTGGCAATGCAAATCAGGTGTGGGGTGGGGAAGGTGCTGGCAACATCTGAAGGGCAATGAGCAGAACAGTCCTCTTAAACAGGACGTGATCTTGCACAGTTTCACATCCAGAAACAAAAAAACCCCAACAAACTTCACTTCAATAAAGGAAAATATTGGGGGAAAAGCATAAAAAAATAATAGTTTAAAAACAGAAGGAAAGATCAGCATGGTAATAACCAGTGTAGCCTAAGCTCCCTCTTCTGGTATTTTGGAGCAGATACACTGGATTAGCCAGGCCTTGAGAAGTCTAACATTTGGATCCAAAATCCAGCAGCAAAATGTTCATATGACTCAGACAAAACATCTGTCAAACTTAGTCAGCCTCTTTCACACTAGAACCATTTCTTAAGCAAAAGATGTAAAGACATGGCAAAGTCTTGTAACAATTGAAATCACACAATACCTTTTTTTTTCCCTTGTGAAACCTTTGGTTTCTTCAGCAGGCAGCTCTACACCATCACCAGGGGCCACAGCCAAAGGTACATCCTCAGAAATGTGGTTATCAGCTCGCTCACAGCTATCAGGCTTGGAAGTGCTGCAAAACAGGTATTAAAAATAAGCTGACAAATTTCAGAAATGCCCATGAAGCTTTAATAGTCTCTTTGCAGGATGAACTTTGGCTGGATCTACAAGGAGCTGTAAGCAGCACATCATCCCCTCCCAAATTCCCTCTCTCTCCCACTTCCCAAAAATTACTTCTTCCTCCAAACATTATTTCACTTCACTTCTCGGCTGGCCACATCATCAGCCTCTATAGACCATAACATTAAGTGCTAGAAACTTTAACTGTATATGAAATCAGTATAATAAATAAATCAATCACTAATGACTGCTTTGCTGCTCCCACACAGCCCTTTCTCCTCAATGTACAATATAAACATTCGATTAAGCAATTTGTGTTTTAGCAAAAATCCCTAAAATCTGGGACTAAAACATTCTCTTATTTTAAAAGCTCTCCCCAGGCTGCAAGGCTGAACAGAGTAATCCCAGAACTGATCCCATGGATGTGAGATCCCTCTGCTCAGCAAAGCCCCACGCTCGGGAGCAGGGCAGCAACCACAAACTCCCCCTGCTCTCAGCCACACTCATTAACAGAAAAGGAGCTAAGAACCAATGATTCATGTCTCAAAAGCAGGAGAAGTTTAAGATTTTGTCATGCCTGTCTGTCTGTCTATTGTCCCTTCCAGGGCACACCAGAGGGACACAAATGTCCTGGGGTAGCAGTCACACACAACAGCCTCTCCTGCTGCTGCCAGAGATACAGACACAAATGCTGATGGAAATGTTGGTGCAAACAGGATGTGACTGAGAAGGTTCTTACAGGTTTCCTGAATTAAATATAAACAGCTATCTTAGTCATTCCTTTTCAATTCTTCTCTCCTCTTCCCCCAGTAATTACACTGGGATTGCAGGCAGCAGATGGAATTGTGTTACTGATGGAGAGTTAGTGAGGTCCAGGGACAGGCTGTTCCCTTCTCTGGTGCACTAACAGAGGACAAGCCTAAACCACATCCCTGACTTTATTCACACACACAGGAGCACGAGAGCAGCCACCTCCCAAAGCTCTTGTGCACTCAGGCACTGAGATCTCCAAAGCTCTTTGTGAGTGTAGTTTACCTTGATTAGCTTATATCCACAAAGCTGTTTTGTGCCATATGGGCAACTACCCAGCTATCTCTTCCAAGAAATTATCTCTGCTTTCCTCACTCCTTCCTTCCTTTCCTTCCTTTTGTTTTTCCAAACTGCCCTGATGCTGACAGACACTCGAAATTTTCAGCCCCATCAAGTGAATACAAATAAATAAATAATGATTAAGAAGCAGGCTGTTTCCTTTTTCATGCAAAGGCCTTTGTCCTTGGCTAAAAATGTCTCTGTACTAATATAGTAACAGCATCCTCTCTATAGCAAGGCTGTGACTATATAGGGGCACAGGGAGAGCAGTGAAAGTAAGATTTTTTAAAGCAGAAAAAAGTGAACTGCTAAAAATAAGTGAATGCTGAACATCTGTTTGGAGAGCAAACAAAGAGCTGCAAAACCCAAACAATTCACAAGAGGGCCCAGCCAAGCAAGAGCACCAAAGGCACACAAATTATGGCCCTGCTGTTATGGACACACAAAGCTGCCCCAGGCTTACAGCAGCACCTGTTTCACCCACGCTCTTCACACGGGTCCTAAAGATCATCTGCAGCCCTTCAGCTTCCCCTCCAAGCCTTTCCACACCAAATGAATCCATTTTCAGAGATATTCTGACTGATGAGTGTCATTCCCAGCACTAAAGCAAAGCTTGCCATCAGCACACCAGCATTTCTGGAAAAGCTGTGCTCCCCATCCTTCCCAAAGCCCTGGGTCCTCTCCTCCTCCTGCTCTGACAGACTGCAAAATTGAGGCAGGGGAGCACAGAATAGGAACCCTGTCCAAAACACAGACTTTCTGTTCACTCTGAGCTCTCCAGCCTAACCCTGCATCAACACTGGGGTCCATCTGTCAACTCATGGGACTTTCATCACTTCAGACATGAAGAAGCTACATTAAAACTTCTCCACAGCTCTTATTAAAACAAGATTTTCCATTAAACTTTTTTCTCAACTGGTGATATTTTAATGGTTGCAAGAAGAATACAACCAAAAAGCCCAATCCTTCTCAGTGCACAATAAAATATACACTGACCAGTATTTATCCTGTGGAGTGAGCTGATTAGAAAACAGGCATTTTCAAGCATTACCTTTTATAAGTAAACCTCAAAAATAATTTTCTGACTATCTGTGTGCACAGACAAGTGTGGGTACTCCCTGTTTGTGCTGCCAACACTGAGAAGTACACCCTAAACACATGCAGCAAGTGCCTTCTACGCTGTCATTTTTTCCTGGGCATTTGCAGGTTTGGGGTTTTTTGCCCACAAGCCAGGAAGGAAGCTGGAGGGAGCAGACACTGCACAGAAGTGTTTCACACCCCTAACCTGGAGCCCAGCTAAGCTGTGGCCTTGTACAGACAGGGCTTTATTTGCCTTCTCTACCTTTCCAAGGCAAACATTCCTCCTACAGCACAGCAGTCCTGTTGCAGAGCTCTGCACCTGCAGAGCAAAGAGAAAGCTGTGCCTGGCCAAAACTTCTCCTAGAGCAACATGTACTGGCAAATCACAGTGAACTTGGCCTTTCACTGCTCAACAAAAATGCTTGGCAGAACCATCAGTGAACTTTTCAGCTAATTCTTTCCAGGGCACTTCTCTGTAGATAAATAAAATCTTACTGAGCAGATGCTAGCATGTTGTCCCTGATCAATATGGTATCAGTCAGTCTCCCTCAAGAAGCCAAACAAAGATAGAGTTTCTGACTGGACAGATGGAGGGACAACCTGATCTCTGACTCTGCCCTGCCATCTGGAAGCCATTTAGCACAAACTGACCCCCATCATGCATGCACCATGAGTTTTCCCTGCCAAAGTGCCCACCATCTGCATTATCTGACACCTCTGATGGGGAAATACACAGAAACAAAAGCAAATTTAGTAAATGACTAAATATTTTGGGGGAAGAGACACACTTTCTGATTGCACCTTACTGCAGAGAGACTGGAATAACACCATGGCATTCGGAGCCCCTGTAACATTGCCATTTTGCAGAGGTACCCAGCAGGCAGCACAGAGACATCACATTGTGCATTAGGGAACTGTATCCACTCACACTAAAATGCACTGATGCAGTGCTTCCACATAAAATGCCAAAAAAGCAGAGACTTTAATAAGATTATTTTACTTATATCAGCAATAATCTGCTCCATGAAGGTGAATTGCTGATGACAGATAAGGCATGGAAGAACAAACATCACTGAGGCTCCTCCCTTGGGTGAGAGAAGCCCAGCCCTGCTATGTGAGCATAATCCCAGTGTTCTGACACTTCCATTTGCTACCAACTTTATATTGCTGGCAAAGCCCAGGGAAGCCAGCAGAGCTGCTGCTGCAGGAGGAGCTGCACCAGGACTGAACACACAGGAGTTTATTAAAGCAGGGCTGCAGCTGCACAGATTTAACCCCTCCTCTGCCAACCTGCTGCCACCTGGGGGTGGGCACAGTGGCAGCCTCTGGGTTTTCACTGCTGGGACAGCAGGAAACCCCTCTGCAAGGCTCACAGAGAATCAAGGAAGTGGCAACAGCCTGGACAGGAAAGGCAGGTAAAGGAGAATGGGCAGGCTTTTATATCCAAAGATGCACATGGATGCAAAATAAAGGAGCAAGGAAAACAACACTGACAAGAGTTAACTTGTGCAGCACTTAAAAAAAGAGGTAAAAGCAACAAACACAGAAGTAGCACTCACAGCCAGCTTCACTCCAGTTGACCACAGTGTATTTCTCTGTTAGTTTCCTCTGTTGCAGGAATTGGAAAACTACCTACATCCAACGTGAAATAGCCCTGGTTTGCCACTTTTTAGTGCTGAACCCTTGCAAAAAGCCTTGCAGCTCCCTCAGGGCCAGGATTTGGAAACCAGCAGATGCTGTGGTTGCTGCACAGTCCCTGTGCCCTCACCCCTACTGGGCTCAGCCACCCTGGATGGGGCAACCACAGCCCAGCACCAGCACAGCCTGAGCCGCTGGGCTGGAGCAAGGAGACACCTCCAGACAAACAATAACACATTTAAAGGCACAAGTTATGGAGGAGATCAAAAGGAAAGGTATAATATAATTAACTCGAAATTCCAGATTGATGTGAGAAGGCAAACAGAGTGAATTCATGAGGTTTACAAGAAACAGTGAATTAAAGCACTCTGAGACTGCTCTCCCTAAATGTTTAATCATAGACAGCTTGTGTGCCTCTTTCCCTGCAAACAGCAAATTATCACCCCAAGGGCACACAATCTTCTGTTCCAGACTGTAGTCCAAAGACCATATACAAATCTTTCTGGCACTTTTGGTGCCTTTTTCATGCTTCCACATTCAGAAAGTAGTTCACAGCTCCACCTCAATGCTTACTCTTTTCTAACTGCCTCACTACTACAGCCAACAATCCATTAGCAAGAAAAGCAGAATCCACAAAAAAACCCCACCAGTAACCCAATTACATTTGTTAAAAACAAAAGAAACACAACTTTTTGAATAAAAACTTACAAGGACTGAAAGAAATCCACATCATTAGCTTCCCACTGAAAGCTTCTCTAGATCATCTTACTGTGACTGTAGGAAAAAGTTTGTTTCTCACAGTCTCTCCCAGCCAGCACTGGTGACTAACCAGCTTGGGGACTGGTGGCAGAGCAGGATGGGCTAAACAGCAAAACAGCAAAGTCACCCAGCTTTTAAGGTGGATTGAGCAAACCACACAAGGTCCCTCCAGCCTTTGATGGTGTGTTATTGTGACTTCAGCTAACAAATGTAATGCTAGCTTAAATATACTGTGTGTGTTTACACTCCACTGAGCTCCTGGTGATTGAAGGGTACACACACCCTACAAGGCTTCCTCTATTGTTCAGATAAATTTATATGCCCCAAGATCCTGACAACCCCACCACCAGCAGCACAAAGAAAGCAACAGTTTCCCTTCTCAGTGCAAGCAAAGGCAGACAAAAAGGCCAGAGTCCAAGAGAGATACCTGAATGCTTTATAATCAATGTTGTGCTGTTGAAGAACTTCTCAAAGAAAATGCTTCAAGGATTATTTACCTTGTACTAATAATAATAATTAAAAAAGTATAAGCACCTAAAATAATGTAGGAAATCTATTGCACCTTCAGATACCATGTGCTGAAGTGACAGAATCTCAGGGAAGGGTAAACAGAATTTTCATTGAAAGGCTTTGACAAGGGGGGATTTAAACTCTGGTAGAGATCTGTGCTGATAGATAGAGGCAGGCCCAGCAAACCCATCGACATTTCTCCATGCAAGGAGGGTGGCAGCAGCTCCTCAGCCAGTGCTGAGCTCCTGGTGCTGCAGTCCCCTGCAGCAGGGAGCTCTACACCACCACCAGGGCCCACAGGCAAAGGTACATCCTCAGAAATGAGGTTATCACTGAGCAGCCCCTGCCTGGCCCAGGCCCAGCCCTGGCAGTACCTGGCTGCAGTCAGCTCAGCAGCTCCCACGGGGACATTGCCAGAGGCTGCACACACAGCTGAGGGATGCTCACAGGGATCCAGGGGAGAAGCCAACTGATTATCATCACCTGGCCCAGCAGGGCTGTGGAGAGAAAAGACAGAGAGAAAGGCAGCCTTTAATGTCGGAGTTATTGCAGAATTACTCTGTTTATCTCCCTGAATCCCTGGACTTGAGCATGAATGAGCTAACTTGTGTGTTAGGGAAGTTGGCATTTTTAATCTGAGTTGCTTTTGTTCCCACAGAACTGAAGTTTCTGGGTTTTTGTCTGACTTACAACTGCAGAAGCAATGAGACATTACAACCAACAACAAATGAACCCCATTGTGCTCCTGATTATGAACAGCAAATAAGAAATGGAGCTGCAGCTTGATCAAGAGAAATTACAAGATTCCCTCACTCAGAAAGCACATCAAATACAAGGAGCTCAGTGTTGGTTTCTACCTGAGCCAGGGGGGCTCATCACTGGGGGCACAGAGTCAAAGGTGTCCAGGTGCTGTGGGGAGCTCCCACAGGGAGACATCCAGCCTCATCCCATTGCTGGGAAAAGCAGAGTGCCACTGGGTACCAGCAGCTCAGGACTGAACAAACCCATCTGGAAACACTGCTGAAGCAGTAAGGAAAAGAGCTGTGCTGAGAAAGAGACTTTGTTTATTTTTGTAAGATGCCAAACCATGGGAACCCCCTGAAAACAATGTTTTTGCTGCTACTTCAACCTGACTTTGCCATGTGACCACCCAGAGATCAGAGCCCTTGAAACATCAGTTTTCCCTGAAATTCACCAAAATTCTCAAGTTATTTGTAAACCACAAAATGTGACCTTAAACTGCTGATGGAATTTCACACTGCCCTGGACCCCTTCTGCCCATGCTGTTTCCTGTGCTACCTTGTGAATACAGCACTGAACACACAGGAATGGTACCCCATACACAGATGGATTTGAGCTGCATAAACTCAAAACTGTCACTCAGCATTTGCAATTCCAGCTTATAAATACAAAGTTCTAAATCACAGAACTCAGCTTTAAGTGCTTACTTCCTTACCTAACTTCAAATCCAGATATCCTGGATCATTCCCTACTGTAATTTAATTTTGAATCAAAAAACATAACAAACAGTTGAATTTTATTCTTCTAATGAATTGTATTCTTGTAATGACTGAAGGTACATATGAATGTACTCACACTTTCCATATTTTATCTAAAGAATTCTGTACCATGTTTATGTAGGAAAAACAATTACAACTCTGAGCAATTGGCTGCTCACAGGTTCTCTGGCTGAACCACACCTGAGGGCTCTGCCTGTTCTAGGGACCTTTGAGCCAAGGTGTTTCCAGGTTCTAAAGTCCTCTGGCTTATTATCATAAAGGGACAGGTTTCCATTCATTGCTGAGCTGCAGCTGGGGTGTTCCCTCTGGTTTGCCTTAAAATGAGTGTTCAGAAAGTCAATTTTGACAACAGAACTTTACAATTTATTTTTCTGTACATGAGTGAAGTGAGGAAATGAGCAGGTTTTCTTCTTGCTGTCACAGAGCTCTAAGGCTATTCCTGTAAACACCTAAAAAACACAGCACAAACCCAAACTGCAGCTGGAAATGCTGTGCCCCAGCCTGGTGAGAAGTGTTTGCTCCTCACCCCTCACGCTTCCTGCACAACCAACCCCTGGACAGGGATGTTCATAGTGCATGGACAAAGTAACCTGAAACTCAGGCCTGGGGAGGTGATGCAGAAGCTGCTCCTCGCCAAGCCACCCTGCTCTGTGCCGCACAAACAATGGAGCCATCCATGAGCTGCTCAGACGAGTTCCACAAGTGACATTCCCGGGAATCCCAACTGCCTTTGGCTCTCCAGGGGCTGCCACCAGCCTCTAAGGCCAGCTTGCTGCAAGAACTGAGCTCCATAAAAAGGCCATGAGCTTTTTCCGTTCTGCTGCCTCAGTTCTGGGTTGAGCCTGGAAGAGGATCGACATAAAACTGCTTCCAAATTCTGCTTATGACAGGCATGGCTGAAATAGTTTGCAGAGGAAAATACCTCAGAGTTTAACAAGCAGTTGCTTACCAACAGCTGCAGCGTGCACACTAAATTCAGCCCCAAGACCACGGGGTTCAGTCTGTTATTAGTGTGTCACAAGAGAAAGACACTGCCCATCAAGTGTCCTGAGGCTCTTGAGTTTCACAATTTCACTTTTAAGGCCTCTACTTAGCCTTGAAAATAGATTTTCCAAGTCATTGTTAGAAGGCAGGTATGCAAATAACAAGTTTCAGGCAAAGCTGGACCCACAGTATTCATTACATATCAATGAATGAATGAGAAATAACTTCATAAACCTGTCTAATTTCTTCTTAAACACAGCAGGTCTGACTCTGTCTATGTGAGAAGGCTTCAAACCAAGGCAGAAATTTAAGATACCCACAGGGACACAACTTGGCACATGTGGACACAGAGACAGTGAGTGCTGGGTGCTCTGCTGGCTCTGTTTGCTGCTCTCCCCCCTGACCCCCCTGAGATGCAAGCCTTAAACCCCCAATTTCATAGCAAAGTTATAAAACACTCTGATACTGGTGCTGGAGACAGAAGGCAGCTCCAGGTCTTGGCATTTACTCCCTGTCCATGTTTTTCCAATCAGGAGAGCTGGATGAGGCTCCCTTTGAACACTCAACAATAGCTCCAAGTTTACTCCAAGGGAAACCAATCAGCATTTCAAACTCTGCTATCTCCCAGCCCCAAACATTTGGCTGCTTTTAACGAGATAAGAGCAAGATTTGTGGATCCTGCTCTTACTCCAGACATCTCTGGAAAATGGCACCAACAACCACGAGGCAGGACTGAGCTCTCAGTGCTCTCATCATCCAATGTTTTGTTTTCTTCAGGACACAAGATGTTCTCACTGGGTACAGCAAGGCTGACAAACAAAATCCTTCATATTTCATACTTGGCTTTCTAATACTTTGGGCCAAAGAGTCAAATTTTTAAGCCTCAGTTTACCCATACATAAGAAAAAGTATTAATCAATCCCAGAAAATATTGAGAGAATTTGCAATTTCTGCTAAGCTCTTATACTGCAATTCTTTGGAAAGGAAAAAGATCGAGCAGTACCTACATCAGTTTCAAATTAATTCATTAAAACACAAAACTTGATCCATTTTATTAATACCTTCATAATATTAACCTTCTCACAGTTCAACTTAGCTCTTACATTAACCATATTCACTGAAATTAACCTGGTGTCTAGAAAATCCAACAATAACCTGTTACAGTGACTCTGTCCCTTTGGTATTTCTGTTCTTTAAAAGTATTTCCACAATTACTGGGATTCCTTTCAATGATTCAGCAGAGAAGGAGGTAAGGAGTTATTTCTCATGTAAGAAATCAACATTCACTAACTAAAACTAAACTTGTTTACGAAACAGCTCAGACCTGCTGCATAAGATACAAGCAAAGCACTAAAAACAAACAAATCCCTCTTTTTCCCTCCCGCACTACTACTTATGAACTTATTTAAAACCCATTTATATATTAACAGCATTTCAGGAAAAATATAAGATTGTAAGATTAAAATGGAAAGTGTGGCTTTATTTCTCAAGGAGCTAAGGGAACATCCATCCTCACAGAATGAGTCCATGCACCAGCAGCAGCTTAAAAGCTCAGACTGAGGGTCACTTTTGCTGGTCACTGTGTATAGATTTAGCCAAGGTTTTACTTTTACCAGCTAAAAACGCACCCACAGTCAAAAGTTCAAGATTTGGGCAATACACTGCCTTTTGTAAACCCAACAAAAGACCTACTTATGCATTTAAATATGTGATTTTGGAAAAATCTCTCAAATTCCATACTCTGAAGAAGAAACTATGCCTTAAGAGACTCACACCAGTGCTTTGTATTTGGGCTCAGCCTGGGCCAGGCTGAGCCTGCTGAGCTGGAGCTGTGCAAACACAGTAATGAAGGTATCCAAGAAATGAACTGGCATGTGTTAATTCAAAGCAAATAAAAACCCTGTCACACGGGGGGAACACGAGTTTGATGCCCAGTGCATGGCAGCAGAACTACACTGAGAGACCAGAGAGACCACAGACCCCAAGTGGCTCCTGGGGGAATGGTTCCACATTTCCATGGCGTTGCTCCGAGCAGGACTCGAGGAATCCACAGAACAGGTCTGGGTGCCGGTGCCTGGGGCACGCAGGGAGGGTGGGGCAGCCCCTGAGTCACACCTGTCCCCAAGGCAGGGACGTGCCACCACCCAGGCTGGGGACACAGGACACGCGGCTGCCCGGCTCCGCACACAGCAACGGGAGAGTCCCTTCCCTCCCAGCACAAATCCACCCCAGCAGCACCAGAGAGGCAAACAGGAGCTGCTTCTGGAGAAATGATTTTCCCAAGGTTTGCCGAAGGCAATGCCCACCTGTGGAATGAAAGCAGCCCAGCTGTGCAGCAGCTGGCAGTGCCCGCAGGTAACTCCTGGTGTTCTGCTGGAGCTGTCAGAGACCCTGCACAGGCATTCCCCAAAAAGTGCATTTTTCTGGCACTCCTTTTGGAAATCCTGACAAGATAGCGGAGTTATCTTGGCAGGGGATGGGGTTTAGTCACACATTACCTGGGGGGCTGCACTTCCTCTCTCACCCAGCCCTGCTTGCTTAGAAACCCCCTAATTTCTGTAACATGCGCATCCAGATTGATCCCCAATTTGATTAACTGTAACAACAAAATAGAATTAATTTTTTTTAGTGTTCTACATCACTGTGGTCGCAGTAAAACTCAGGGTGAGTTACTACATTAAACAAACACAACTACATTAGATCCAAATACTTAAAGGCACTGAAACATGTGTTACAGCACTACTTCCTTTGCAAACTAAGAGAGGGACAGCAGAAAGCCACATAAAAGTTTCAGAAGTATAAATCACGCCTGCACAGGATGAATAAGCATATTTGCTCTAATAACTGTCAACCATTAAAAAAAGCCCATCACGTCACCACGAGCAGCTTTTAGAGCTCGGAAGGGCTCGGGAAGGGCTCTCGGTCACATCCTGATGTCACTGGAGCAGAGTTCCCAAATCCCCAAAGTTCCCAGCCAGCAAACCTGAAGCAGA